GGACTTGAGATGTTTTCGTCCGCACCAAAGGCGGCCCTGTGAGGGGAGGGAAAGCCGGGGGGGGGGGAGAAGCTGACAATTTCTTCCCAAGTTTAAAAAAAAAAAAAAAGCCTTTGGGGCTGGCAGAGGAGGTGGGAGCCGAGCACAGGCTGTTTTGAAATCCTTGCTGGAGAATTAAATAAAAAAAAATAAATAAAATAAAGCAAGCCCAAACCACGGGTTCTCTCTGGGCCAATGGCAGCGGTAGCCCAGGGTGTAGGCAGGTTGCCAGGCGCGCTCGGCAGCGTGACCGCACGGCATTGAGCTGCTTTAATGAAAGCCAGGAAAGAACACATTACACAGTGTTTCTTCTGCGAGCCAGCGAGCCTCCAGTGATTGAAATCAATAAAAACAGTCGGCAAGGGGCCCAGTGGGGGAAGAGAGAAATCTCCGCTCCGGCATTCAGTTTGCTTTCCACTTTCTCCCTTCTTCTTCTCCTCCTCCTCCTCCTCCTCCTTCCCCCCTGAAGTTAAACTCTGAAGATCCCCAGGACGAGCGACTTCGCTCCCGGCGCTGGGAAGAGGCTGGTGGGGATTTAAAGGCAGCAAGAGCTTCCCCCCCCATTTCACCTCCCCGCTCCCCCGGCGCGGAGGGAACCCACGGCTTCTTTGGAATTTGAGTCCCGCCTGGAAAAAAAATAAAAACACACAACTCCATCGGACAAGTGCATCGTTTGGCGTTTGGGGAAAGGGATGGATTTGACGGTGGGAGAATGCTGAGAGGTGAGAGGGGGAAGGAAGAGCCGGGCTCGGGTTCAGCCGGAGCGAGGATGTCCCCCACAGCGGAGGGGACCTGGGGAGCTGCGGGCAGGACGGGGAGCGAGCGCTTGGGATCGGCACGATCCGCCTCCTAAAGCTGCCGAAACCTTCGGGGAGACGTGACCGCCCCAGGTAAGCAGAACCCCTTTTATCCATCCTCTGTCCCGCGTCCCCAATCCCAGGGAGAACCTTCCTGCTGCAGCCCCCCCAGCCCGCCCCGCGTCCCCCCTCGTTAACCTCGGGCCAGTTAACGCTAAGCTGGTCCCGGCTGAAAATCGTGTCGGGCCACTAATCCTCGCTTGAACTATAAAACATGCACAAAAGCCCTTTGTTTACTGGGTTTTTGTGCTGAGGTCGCTGGTTGACAAGGTAGGACGGGGCCGTGGCCGGGAGGGCCCGTGCGGAGCCGGGGAACGGGGCTGACCCCGCACGGAGCCGGCCGCGATCTGAGAGGGTGCCAGTAATGAATTTCTAATATGGGCCATATTTATCTATTTTATTTATGTGTTTTAATCACCATAGCAGCCACATACAGTACATACTTGCGCCGAGTTCCATGTGCTGATCTGTCCCAGGAATCACAGCGACTTGCTATAAGTCTGGTGGTTTTGTCAAAAAAAAGAACTTTGCAATTACTCGTTAACGCAGCCAGTTCCTGGCACGTTGCTTAGGACTGATGGACACAGGTTCACCCAGCATGTCTGTGCTCTGCCACTGCCCTAAGGCACGTGGGTTTTATACAGATAGCCCCATAAAAAAGGGAAACAAATCAGGGCTGTAGAACACAACATCCTTCTCAAGCTTTTGGCCAACTTGAGGTGATTTATGGAGGCTTCAGTGAGACATGAAGGGTGAAATCGAAGCCTGCCTTTTGCAAGTCAAGCAAAACTGATGATACCTACAGCCCTTTTCCACCAACGGCAGGAATTCACTGGGAGAGACAACAAATAGGTGCCCCTGGAGAAGAGCAGCCATGGTTGTCCCCTTGGTGGTGGCCACCCTCAGATGTTGGCAGCAGCCCATGTGCTGCCCAAGAGCTGGGGAGGGACTGGGTGTCTCCCCTTCCACTCGGGATGCCCAAGGGGATGTTTTGGCACAAAACGTTTGGTCTTTGTACCCAAACACATCCGGGATGGCTCTGATGGGAGAGAGACTTCAGGCATCTCCTCCAGCTCAGGACCACCAGAGAGAATGCAATAATCGAGTACAGCAAGTGCAGGTGCATTTCTGCAGGTGCAAATGTTGCTCTTTATTGGAAAATGCAGACTTTTAAGGGTAATTTGATCATTTTCTCATCACATGGAAATGGAAATGACCCCCACACTCACAGAGTGACCTGGAGAACATCTCCATGACCAAAAGTAAGGGACTGTTATTTTTGAATATGATTTTAAGCATTTTTAAAGCATGTTCTGATCAAGCTATGAAAATAACTGAGGCTATACTGAAATAGTAACAAGATTTTATGCTGATTTTATCAGTCTAGTTTTGAACTCTTCATATAGAACAATCACAAAATTATAGCTGAAGATGTAACTGAAGAACAATCAATCATTCACAATTAAAACCAGCAAAGTTGTGATCCATAAGAGAAGCTGGCCCCATGAGAGTTTTTGGGACTATCCACAGACCCAAGACTCACCTCAGCTTCCACAGTTTTCAAAATCTGTTCTGTGCTTTGCCTCCCCCCTGCACAGCAGAACTGACAGCACCTTCACAGTGGGGGAATCACACATCACTCCCACACCGACCCGCAGCCCGGCTCGCACCGCTCCTGAGGCTACATTTTACCCTTAAGCACAGGAACTCAGCAAAGTCTTTGCTGAAAATTTCAAGCAGGGCAGGTTTAGGTGAGACCCAGGCAATGGTTATCACTTGTGCCGACGTCCCCAAGCTCAGATGAGGTTCCTCCCCACTACTCTCTCAGCAGAAAATATAAATATTATCTGTAAAGCAGGGTGCAGGGTATTTGTGCTCATAGTGATGCATTTTTTCAGGAGCTGAGTGGTATGAGTTTCCACAGCACCTACTGTTAATGGCATGTGTTTGTTTTCACACACACACCATAGACAAAAAATATTTTGTGTTTTCCTATTGAGATGCCGTTTTGACCAAACACAGATATTCTTGCAGTGAAACCACAAGGCAAGACATGTCACAGTTTTTCAGCCGTGCCAATTACAGCAGATTCCCTGCACAGTGACCCAGACCTTCAGGCTCTTCCCTTAGAGTCTGGAGATCTGCAAGGATCCCATGTGGCTTTGTGAGTTGGATACAACAAAATAGAATCAATGGAAGAACCCATTTCTCACATTTCTACTGGTCATGATAGAATCATAGAATGGTTCAGGTTGGAAGGGACCTTAAAGATCATCCAGTGTCACCCCCTGCCCTGGGCAGGGACACCTCCCACCAGACCAGGTTGCTCCAAGCCCCCTCCAACCTGGCCTTGAACCCCTCCAGGGATGGGGCAGCCACAGCTTCTCTGGGCAACCTGGGCCAGGCTCTCACCACCCTCACACCAAAGAACTTCTTCCCCAGATCTCAGCTCAATCTCCCCTCTTTCAATTTAAAACCATTACCCCTCCTATCGTTCCACTCCCTGTTTCACCTCATCAGGAGTTGTTCATCCTCAACAACAAATCACATCTCCACCATAGCCAAGAGTTCCTAATAGTTCATCCCAACCATCCCTACAGCAACAGATGTTGGAAAAAGAGCTTTTTGAAAACAGTATGTAAGGTTTTGTAACGGTCAGCAAAGGTGGAAGGAGAGGCTTTAAAGGTCAGAGGAAAACCATCTTGGTTTAATCTCAGCTATCTAAATCTTTATGAAGGGAAAGGTCTGGGATTCTACAAAATAAGGGGAATGGCTGTGCTGAAATTCAACAGTAAAAGGACAAATACTGGGGTGAAACACAATACTTGTGTCTGCACTGGTGGAAAAAGAGTGTGGCCATCCCTTTCAAATGAACGTGATCTGACCCTTCTTAAATACTGTAAAGCTTCAAGGTATCTCCTTTCTCATTTACACCAGAGGTTCATGCTCGTGGTAATGAATTCATCCCGCTCAGTACATTTAGTTTGCTCAGCCTCAAACTGACAGCTCCTCTGTGCCGTACCCGTTCTGACTCCAAAATGGAACATAATTAAACCTACAGGTTGGAGAAGGTACATTTTCCCCACTATGGGAAAGACTTGTGAAGCAGAATGCTAATTATTAAATTAAAATAAAAGGTTATCAATCCTGAGGCAGGCAGGTTTCCTCCTGATTCAAATAGGAATCCTTATGTTCTACTTCAGAAGAAATTTTTTGTTAAAAAAAAAAATAAAAGCTACCAAAACCCCCTAAAAAAAACCTCATACCTTTTTACCAACAAGATGTCATTAGCTTCAGCCCCAGAGTTCAGCAGTAGCGAGAGGGAATTCATGTCCCAGTACATACCCTCACCTTTCAAACTCTCTGTGCTCTTCCATTCAATTAAAAGAAAAAAATAATACCTCAACATACTCCTATTCATTCATTTCTTATTTCAGAAAACCACTATCACTGTACTTTGCTCTGCTAAGATCTTCTTTAAAAAATAGTTAAACTTGTATCTGACAGACAGTTCGGTTCCCACCAAACACCCTCTTTTCAGGAGTTTAGTCTAAAGGAGAAAAGTGAAGAAATGAGGGTTCTCGGAGCTGGCAGAATGACACAACCCAGCGTCCCCCCAGGTCCCCCTGCTGCTCTCCCCACCACAACAGCAAGTGCAGGTAGTTCTGTCTCATTAAACACGACTGGTAGGAAGAAAGAATTTGAATAAATTACTTGGCAGCTTGAAATGGTCTCCTGAAAGTTCCTTAAGAAAATTCCATCCATATTCTCCAGCATTTTGAAAGTCTCTGAAATTAAAGCGCAATCCATTCTCAAATCCTATTTAATTTAGTGAGATTTCACACCCTTTCTGTCCTTGTGGGCTCCCTGATGTCTCCAGGACCAACTCCTGGACTCTCCAAATTTATCACACAGTCCTGGAGCTCTGAAATGACATCTGGTTTTTACGGCGTCAGGTGTGCCCTCATTATGCTCGTGTGAGGCAGGGCAGAAAATTGAAAAACAATTATGATTTAAGACCCTAAATTAAAACCTGTCGACTCTTTAGTAAAAATACTCCATAAAACCTGTTGGTATTTCAACGGACCACACTGAAGAGTACCCGCCTAAAAGCAGCACAAAACAAGGTGGTGGTGTTTGCTTATTTGGGAATTAAGGCACCCAGCAAGTTATCCAAAAATAAAACAATATTTAATCTACATCTCAATAATAAGTAGCTTACACTTATTTATAAAATAAATGCCAGAGTTTATGTGGATTGAATTTACGACTCATGTCAGTTTCAAAGTCAGGCTTTGCACAAAAAAGTTACATTTTACACCTTTGATAAACCAAGTATAAACTATCAGCCTAAAAGCAGCACAAAACAAGGTGGTGGTGTTTGCTTATTTGGGAATTAAGGCACCCAGCAAGTTATCCAAAAATAAAACAATATTTAATCTACATCTCAATAATAAGTAGCTTACACTTATTTATAAAATAAATGCCAGAGTTTATGTGGATTGAATTTACGACTCATGTCAGTTTCAAAGTCAGGCTTTGCACAAAAAAGTTACATTTTACACCTTTGATAAACCAAGTATAAACACAACTGAAAACTGGCAGTTGCCCACACCTTTTTAAAGTATAATATAGAGCAGGTAAAATGGAATAACGTGCAAAATACAAGGAAGCACAGACCAACCCACTAACGGGGGAGGAACACAACTGAAAACTGGCAGTTGCCCACACCATTTTAAAGTATAATATAGAGCAGGTAATTAAAAATGGAATAACGTGCAAAATACAAGAAAGCACAGACCAACCCACTAACGGGGGGGTTAAGTTTATCCCACACCTTTTTTGTTCTCATGTAGTTTCGCAGGGATCCAAAAAAAGGCAAGTTTTAAGGTAGAAAGTGTTCCCCAGGGGTCAGTACCAGGTCCAGCCCTCTTCGGTATTTTCATCAATGACCTGGATGATGGGATGGGATGTCCCCTCAGCAAGTTTGCTGATGACACAAAACTGGGAGGGGTGGCTGACACAGCAGAAGG